ATTCCCGATGGCGACGAGCGTCGCGCGCCGCAAGATGGCGGAACCGAAACGCGCTGCGCCTCGCTCAACGTTGAACGCCGGCGAGACGCGCCCGTCGCCATGTGGCCGCCATCTTGCGCTGCAGGGGGCAGGCCAAGTTCACGCTGCCCCAGACGCTACGCTGGCCGCCCAGAGTCAAATCTTCAGCGCCGAGGCGGCGGAGGTCCAGCGGGCCGCCGAGTTCGTCGGACAGCGCGGCCCGAAGGCAGGTCTCATGACCCCCCCCCCCGGCGTCTCAACATGCTATCTCGAGGGTGCTCCAGAAGGCTGCCAATGGCACCCCTGGCCCCGATGGCCTGCCATGGGCGGCCCGGCCCCGCCCCACCACTGCCGCGGGGCCCGGATCACGACGGCGGCGGCGCGGCGGCGTCTTATTTGTCAGTGCACGGGCCACGAGTTCAATCAGATTCGCAAAGCGTTTATTTCGACAGGCGAAGAAGCAGGGGGCTCCTCAGGCACTGTCCGAACAGCAGCTCCGATTAGACCCTTGGGCTTCGAAAGTGCGGACACGGAGGCGATGGCGGCAGCGGTATTCTGGCCCCTATCGCGCGAGATCCCCCATTTCATCGGTGAGATACATCGTGGATTCGTTCGAGGACGGAACCGCGGCGCGAATGCGATCGGGCTCGGCGCGCGCGCGAGCATGGATGCGTGAGAACTCCCCGCATGCACCCCTCAGTTTTGATGTTGCCCATGCTTTCCCTGGCCTCGCCCGCTCTTGGCTCTTCCTCCTTGTCGGCACCCTTGCTACCCCCCCCCGAATTCCTTGCGCGCGCCATTCATGCTGATGCTCTGCGCTTTGTTAGGGCTGGACAGATTCTGAAGCCCCCGTTTCCTGTCCTGTCGGGCCTTGCGCGAGACTGCCCTGGCAGCGGCGCCTTGCGCGCTCTAGCTCCCCGCCCGTCTCCGGTCGCGCTCGAGCACGCGTTCGAAGAGAGACGCCCCCGCAGCCGGCTCAACGGACAGCTCCAAAACGCTTCGTCGCCTGACCTCGGGCGCGGCCCGCGCCAGCGCAGATGATCTCGGGGCCGCGGCGTGCATGGTCGCGGATTTGGAGGCCCCCGTCAGAGAATGCCCCAGCTTGCTGCAGCTGATGCAGCGCTTCATTTAAAACCGAGCACTTTGGCTCCGTTGGCGGGCCCTCTTTCCCCGCGGATTGGTGGAGAAGCGCCGCTCGGTCCGATTTTCAGATCACTCCCGCGTCGAAGCATCTAGGAATGACCCTTGGCCAAGCGGCCCAGTGGCAGTCGCGGCTCCCTCCGAGGGCCGAGCAGAGTCAGCGCGCGCGCAACGTCGCTGCCTCGTCTCCTCCGACGCTCGCTGCGGCGATGATGTATGAGAAAAGGCCCCGGCCACCCTGTCCGACGTTGGCCCGGCCCCCCCTCTCCCCCCCAAGTACTCCGAGTCAGAACATGCCCCTCTAACTTCAGTATACCGCGTTCCTTGCGTTGCTCATGTGCTCGCCCAGGCCCCCGCAACGTGCACGCGTGGGCGCCCCGAGGTTCCGAAGCGGAATAGCGGCGAACCTTGTTGCCCGAATGCGCGCTGCCTGGCGGGCATTCAGAAAAGGGGCGACGTGCGTGCGCGTCGGAGGCCGAAGCTTCAAAGCGCCCTGCGCAGTGTGATTTCAGGCCCCCTCCACCCTCCATCCATATGCTTCCACTTCGACGCGTCGCCGCAAAACCAGACACCCGCACTTCGTGCGCAAAATCGATCTTATAAGCTGGGAAGAGGCGCAGGCTGCACGTGCGCGACTTCCGCCGGCGTTGAGCTCCTCGCACGCAAAGTCGCTCTTCGGCGCGTGGACCACGGCAGCGAGGTGTCAAGAAGACGGGGGCCGATGCAAGTCGGGGCGCCGCTGTGGTCGCAATCGCGGGCCCCGTTACCTCCCCGAACGCCCCGTAGCTCTGGATTGGGCCGTTGCGATTCTAAACTTCTCTCTTCCGCCAGACCTTCTCGTTCGCATTGGTCCGACGTCCCCGTCTCCCGCTGCCTGCTATTTTACAACCATTACTCATGCACTGCACATTGCCCTTGCCAATCATCCCGCATCCTTCCACCAGAGAGTGGTCAGAGCGGCGGCGCCACAAGTGCGAGCTGTGTCCCGACGCGGCTGCTGAGATCGCCGAGGACCGCCCCCTGGGCACGCGTCAGGAGGAGGAGGACGAGAGCGAGGGCGAGGAAGAGGAGGAGGAGGAGGAGGAGGAGGAGGAGGAGAAGAGGACGATTGATTGAGGAGTCTACGGCAGGTTCGCGTGGCGATGGCGCGCCAGCGACGTTGGCGAACGCGTTCAAGCTTGAATTCTGCGACGCGGAAGCACCGGGAGACGCAGTGGCGACATTGGACCTGACGGAATTCAATTTTGGGCGATGGGGGCCGCGATCGATTCAAGGTTGAACGATCGATGCGGCGTCGGAAACTTTTGCGCGCGCCGACGCCGCGGGAACCTACCGCAGGTGGTAGCTCTACCCCGGCCCAGCCTTTCAGTCTGTCTGGAGTGGTTGGTTCCGCCCCAGCAGAGTGGCTGGCACCGGCCGAAGTGCACGAGGAACTCAATGAGGGTAGCGTTGGCCCCAAAGGTGCTGACAATGCACCCAATGAACGGCAATGGTTGGCGGTGTTCGGTCTGCCTCAGGCACTTGGTGCCAGAGCCAGTTTTGATGTTTGACCGTCATCGTGTCAACCCTTGTTCGAGTCTTGGCCGCTCCAAGACGCTTCGGCCACGAGCTTCGTCTCAGCTGGGTTCACCCCCATGGTTCCCCAATGTTGCTTTGTGCGGCGCGCGGCAAGTTCTCCGCCGCCAGAGCTCCCAGGCCGGTGGACTGATGTTCCCCCGGCACGAAGTCTCAGGAGTTGTGTGCCCTCTTCCACGGCCGTTCTCCAAAACAGGCGCTCCCGCCGTCCGCCCCGTTCGGGGGGAGTCTCCTCGGCGACTCCATCAAGTCTCGGGAAAAGGGGGGATGGCAAGGCAGGCTGTCAGGAGGAGGAGTTTCCACTTAACTTGTTCGTGGCCTTCCCTTCGTTGCCTGGGGCTGCACATTGTGAGACTTCGGGCCCATTGTGTGTTTCCTGGTTCTGCGTGAATGCAGGTGACCCCCAAGGGCGCGGAGATAATCGCGCTTCGCGCATCTCGGCTCGTGTTGCAGAGGCGCCCTTCTCCGCGGCGGGCGAAAATAACCGTGCGTCGCGCATCGCGGGGCTCGATGCGCGAAGTCACGTGGCCTGGGGGAATGTGTTACAAGTCTGCGGTCGAAAAGGCATTCCGTGGTTGCGATGGACTTGCTTGCTTTTTTATTGTCAAAGCGGCAGCGCGGCACGCCCCTTGCCTGGCTTCACGCTCGGACACTGGCAGGGTGAAGCGACCAGGCCCCGCCCTCGATTGGGTCCACATTCCACTTGCCTCCTGTGCCACGCGAGCCTTCGAAGGGCGCGGCTATCTGCGCACAAAGGTCAACAGCTTTTGAAGCGTAGTGGGAGAATTTGTAGGACCCACTGCGAATTGGCGGCGGTTGGCACGGAAACTGCCTTCGCGGTTAGCCTTTGGATTCAAATTCTTCCAAGGTTTGCGACGGCGAGCTAGGGATCTTGGCATCGATGGACGCGATCGCATTAACAGGGTCAGCTGGCGCGATGGGCTGGAGCGCAGCGTCGTCGTGCGCAGCTCCCTGAGGCAACTGCAGCTGAAGCAGCGGGTGCCGAGGAGGAGGGGGAGGAGGAGAAGGAGGATGAGGAAAAGGAGAAGAAGGAGGAGGAGGAACAGGAGGAAAAGGAGGCGGAGGAGAAGGATGCAAAGAAGGGCGAGGAGGAGGAGGAAGAGGAGGAGGAGGAGGAGGAGGAGGAGGAAGAAGAAGAAGAAAAAGGGGGGGAGGAGGAGGAGGGGGAGGAGGAAGAGGAGGAAGATGAGGAGGAGGAAGAGGAAGATCGGCGGACGCCAGCGACACCCCATATGCCGATCCCGGCGCGGGCAACTTTGGGCACGGGGTCGGCTATCACGTAGCCGCCTTGGCAAGGTCTAAGAGGGCGTGCACACCGACCGTGGGTCTGTGGTTGCGCCACGCCCAGTCCATTTGCACTGACAGCGGATGCATTTGGCGAAGCTGTTCGCGCTTGGCCGACGAACCATCGACCGCAGAGCGCCGCTGGATGCACAACGTCAAAGCGCCCGCGACCGGGGGAACACGAACGCTAATGAGCCCGGACCAGAGTAATATTTGATGGCGCGAGGGTTTAAGCAAATTCGATGCGGCGAGGAGACGACAGAGAGGGAAACGAGAAAAACAGTGGAAAATTGACAGGAAGAGGAGGAGGAGGAGGAGGAAGAAGAGGAGGAGGAGGAAGAGGAGGAGGAGGAGGAGGAGGAGGAGGCGGAGGCGGAGCAGGAGGAGGAGGAAGAGGAGGAGGAGGAGGAAGTGGATGAGGGGGAGGGGGATGAGGAGGAGGAGGATGAGGAGGAAGAGGAGGAGGGTGAGGATGAAGAGGAAAAGCAGGAAGAGGTGGAGGAGAACTGGCGGGGCAAATTGGGGGCCAGGCCACCACGAAATCAATGCTTGCGTGAGTTATGGATGGGCCAGGATGGCTACACAAGACCAGGTTTGCCCGAACACCCAGAAGAAAAACATTCCATGAGATGTAACTGTAGACGCCAACAGAAGTTGACCCATGCATCGCCACGCAAAAACAAGCAGGGCGAAAAGAGGCTGGACCAACACTGGGATGCGGGAAGGAAGATTAACGAACATGGACAAAACGGAAGGGAAGAAATCGAGGAGCAATGAGAAACGAGGAGGGAGGGACGATGGATGAAAGAGAGGAGGAGGATTGGGCGGCGCAAACAGGGGGCATTGGGCGGGGGGGGGCACCCCGCCAGGTAAATTCATGGGCTGCATCGCACGTCGTCGTTGTCGTCGTCGTCGTCGCTGTTGTTGTCGTTGTCGTCGTCGCGCGGCTTCCAGCACCCCAGGCAGGGCCAACGGATGAGCGGCCTGGGCAGCGTCCGGTGCACTTCCCCGGCCGCCGCCATCCGCAGACGGAGTCCCGAGGCTCGCCCCGTCGCGAGGAGGAAAGCAGGAGCAGGGACGAAAGGTTCGACGCAGGCCTGGGCGGTTTCGTTGTCTTTTCCCCCGATCGTTTTCGAGGCGCTGGTACAGTCTGCGAAAAAATCGGGAATGGGAGTGTGCACTTTTCATCCAGTGGCATGTGCGTACGCATCATATCCAAGATAACCCCATGCAGTCACATCAGGCGATGCACGCACGCCGAGTCGTCGTTGGCCAAGAGCTTGATTCAGATTGTGGGTCGTTTGGCGCGCTTCCGCGGCGGCCCCATCCGTGCTCGATCCACCATGAGACCCTCCGACCCCGAATTAAGTAGTTTAACGCATTGCTTTCGGATGGGTCCTGGTATTTCCCCAATCAGAGCTTGCCTCTGTAAGGGTCCTAGCGGATTCATTCCCCATTCAGAGCTTGCCTCTTTAGGGGTCCAAGCGGATTTATATTGTTAGGTTAGCTGTGGCGACCATTTCGGCGGCACGCCCTGCTGCCCAGGTGCCCAGGTGCCTGGGTGCCCCGGGTGCCCCGGGTGCCCGGCAGCCCTATAGCCCTGTAGACCAACGCTCTATAGCCCGATAGCCTTTATAGCCTTACGGCTTTATAGCCCTGTAGCCCTATAGCCCTACCTATAGCCCTATAGCCCGAATAGCCCGAATAGCCCGAATAGCCATATAGCCCTATAGCCCCATAACCCTGTAGCCCTATAGCCCCATAGCCCTATAGCCCTATAGCCTTATAGCCCTACAGCCCTATAGCCCCACAGCCTTATAGCCCCAGAGCCTTATAACCCTATAGCCCCAGAGCCCTATAGCCCTAGAAAGATTCGGATTGGGGCTTTTCTCTCGTATCATATGGTTAGGCGAGGTGTGCCACCGATTCCCGCGGCCCGCCCCGGTGCCTTAACGCCCTATAGACCTCTAGCCCTATAGCCTTATAGCCCTATTGCCCAATAGCCCTATAGCCCAACAGCCCTACAACCATATAGCCTTATAACCCTAGAGCCCTAGAGGCCCACAGCTCTATAACCCTATAGTCCTATAGCCCTATAGCCCTATAGCCCAATCCCTGTAGCCCTATAGCCCCATAGCCATATAGCCCTACAGCCCTATAGCCCAATAGCCCTACAGCCCTATATCCCTATAGCCATATAGCCTTATAACCCTATAGTTATATATGCCTATAGCCCTATAGCTCTATAGCCCCATAGCCCTATAGTCCTATGGCCTTATAGTCCTATGGCCCTATGGCCCTATACCCCCCCATAACCGCATAGACCCATAGCCCTATGACCCTATAGCCCCATAGCCCCAGACCAGAGTCCCATAGCCCCATAGCCCTATAGACCTTCAGCCCTATGGCCCTATGGCCCTATAGCCCTATAGCCCTGTAGCCCTATGGACCTGTATCCCTATAGCCCTATAGCCCTATAGTTCCAGAGCCCTATAGCCCCATAGCCCCATAGCTCAATAGCCCCATAGCCCTGTAGCCCTAAAAAGACTTTGATCGGTTTTTTTCTCCGGCATCGTTTCACGAATTCCCCAAACTGCGTTTACGCCTAAGGCGGCAAGACCGCCAGTGAGCCCAGACAGCCAGCCCCCGCCAGCGGGCCCCAGCAGGCGCAACGCGCCGCCCGACATTGGTCCACAGGGACGCGAGCCCGGCGTAGATTGAGCGCAGAAGCCCCCCCCCCCGCAGGGACCGGCACCTCATCCCCCCCAGGCGGCGGGCGCCGCGGGCGACCGAGTATGGATTCGCCCTTGCCTGCCGTATGCCCGCCCCCAGCCTTGCCTCCGCCACTGGCTGCCGCAGATTCCCTCGACGAGATGGGGTGGGCCGACCTGGTTGCTCTCGTGCAACACTGGGTCGGCTACTGCACCCACAATCTACGAGCCGGCAGCATGGCGCCGGCAGACCAAAACCTCCAGTTTCTGAAGGGTTTCCTGAAGACACTGTGGGAGGACGGCCAGGTAGGGGTCGGTGGGCCCACAGGCATGGGCGGATGGCATTGGCAGGTATCCTACCGTCAGTTCATGCTCGCGCACCTGGCCTCCTGGGCTGTGGAGACACATGCGGTGCCATGGTACGGCTTAACCCCCGCCCTTCCCATAGGCGCCGCCAAGACGCCATACCTCATGCAACCAGAGGTTATGCTGGGCTTCATGCGGGCTTCGTGCGCAGTCTGGGGGAAGCCACGTTCGTGCAATGCGACCTGCTGAGGCCCAGAGCCGTCTGACCCGTGCACTCGCTGCCCGATGTCCGAGAAATTGTGGTTTCCCTTGCCGAACCCAGTGGGCGCCGAAGCCCTCCTGTCAGACTTGGCGGCCGGGTCGAGCCGGCGTCACGACAGAGCAAAGAGGATTGCACCATCGCGCACATCATGGTCCAGCACGCCCGCGAGCTGCACGTGGACATCGAATTTGCTTGGTCCGACTGGGCCAAAACCAAGCACCGGCAGCAAGGGCCCGCTGACGGAGCTGCGGCAGTGATCTTCGGCCCACGCTCCTGGACAGAGGCAGAATGCCAGTCTTTCTTGGGCACCGTTTACGGACAGATGGTCCCAGAGAGTGGGGTGCCAGACAGTTACCCGTGGAACGGCAGACGCGCCGCCTTGGTACACCTGGCTATTCACCTGCCAGCGCGAAGACAACCTGCTCTCACAGTGGCTAATTAACTCTCCTGGGCTCCAACTGCCCCGCCCTGGGCAATGACCCCAGCCGATGCAGCCAGCTTCACCTCGCGAGGTTCTTCGCTGGCCACGGGATTCGGGACATGGCCTCTCGGCTGTCAACCAAGTACCGGCCTCCGGCAGACGCCCTCCCTTGCGGAGCAACTGCGCCCCCACCTGAGACCCCAGCAGCAGCAGCACATGAGGAGTAGCTACCAGCCCCTCCAGCCGGCACGCTGGCCCAGGCTGAAGAGCAGACCGGCCGCGGCACTCCCCAGAAAGACGCCCCGAATCTCGCTCCACGCGTCGAGGACAGGGGCATTTCTGACGCTGGAGCGGACAGCGAGGCCGCTGCAGCCCCCGCAAGTGTCAGGTGGCTCAACGCCCGCCCGGACTCGGAGGCACTGGTCCCTACGCCGGCCCAAAGGGAGATGCAGCTCGCGCCTGAACCTCCCTTGGACACCGCTCCAGCCGCCCCCCTGGGCCCCCCAGCGCCCGACTGCAGAGACGGACGGCGCTGACGTCGCCGCCCGCGCGGACGCCGCCGCCTTCGAGGGCCGATTTCCGGTCGTCTCAGAGCCTGATGAGTTCTTCGCCTAGTCCTCGCGAAGACAGCCCACTGGACATAGCGGCCCCAGCCGCCGAGCACGGTTCAGACCCTTCCGCAGTGCCCAATCCCGCAGCCTTGGCCCAGGCCGCGCCGAACCCACCACGTACAGGAGTCGCGCCGAAAAACGCCCCATCCAGGTGCGTTGGCCGCTTCCTGGGAGGATGCCTGACCTCGGCGTGGGCGACTTTCTCGTGGTCTGTCACGATCCCGGGCACAAGCCTTCGGCCTGGCCTTCCCTGCCCGACGGGAAGGGAGAGGCGCTCGGCGCAGAAGTAATGCTGGGCGCGCTCGGTGGACCAGTTGAATGCGTCGCGCCCCCGTGGTCGGAGGGTTCTGGCGACGCCGGGCGCTTCCTCGGCGCCAGAGTCGAAGGGGCCCGGGCCGAAGTCTGGGACAGCGCGGACCAAGTTCTCGCAGCATGGGTGACCCCTAAGGACAGCCCAGAGCCAAGAAGCCAAGGGCGCTGCCCACGCCCTCGCCGGGCGGCCGCAGTAGGACAGGGGCCCGCCCCCGACCGGCGCGAAGGCGCTAGGGCTTGAGACGGGCGGACTTGCCAGCGGTGGCCCCCCAGGCGGTAGTTCCCCCGGCGGACCAGACGCAGTTGCGCCCGCCCCCTGCGACGGGCGCGCGCGGAGGCCTCCTCGGACGCGCGTGCGCGAGCGCCCCGGGCGGACTGCCAAGGAACAGTCAACGGCAGCCGCAGCGCACGCAGCCCACGCAGCGACAGGAGGAGACAGATCCTCCCCCGCGGACCGGGGCTACGTCGACGAGCCCGACCCCAGCGACTGCCCGCGCGTGCGGCCCCGCCAGGCCACCGACTGGAAAGAATTGGGAATTGCCAGGTCAGCGCCTGGGGGACGCGGCCCGAGGCCGTCAACAGGTTGGCGGGAACGCGGCGCCTTCCTTGTCGAAGGATGGAACAGCCTTTGCGACCGACGAGACGAGAAGGACAACGGGAGAAGTGCCTGCAGCCCGCCCGGCCAGGGTAATTTCCTGCAAGGACTACTTCGCTGACCTGGACTGGTGCCACCGCGACATCCGCCGCCTCTGCTGGCGCCGCAATATCCAGGTGGACTGGGATGGAGCACGGCGACGCCGGCGCCACAGGGGCTCCGCGACCCGGGGCCGCCATGACGACGGCCGCTGCAAAGGAGAAGGCGGCGACTCGCAGGGGAAAGGCGAGCGGCGCGACAATCCCCTCTGGCGCGAGAGCGACCCAGCGAGGCCGCGCCCGCCAGGCTCATGCAGACGCCTGTCCTCGACCAACCGCGGCCCGCGTCGGGCCGCGGGGCAGGTCTGGTCGGCGCCGCGCCGCAGCGACTCCCAGAGCAGCCCGCCAGAAGGTCGCCCCCACAGGGGCCAACGCGCCAGGTCAGCGCCGCCCGCGGCGCCCGCGCCTGGCACCTAGGCGCGCCCGTCTCTGAGCCTCCCAGTGGCTTGACGGCTTCAGTTACGCCGCCCCGCAGCGCCGCCGCCACCCCAGCCCCTGTGGGGCGCCGCAGCCGCGGATGTCCCCGCGCCCCCTCGTCACGCCGCCAGCGCTGGGCAGCGGGCTGCCGCCGCCCCGCCTGCCGGGGGTCCCCCGCGGACGGGGCGCTCCTCCCTTCCCTTCCCCCGCGGACGGGCCCCTCCCTCGCCCGCCCCCCTCCTTCGCGCGCCGCCATGGCGCTGCCCCTCTGCCGCTCCTGGCGCGCAGCCCAGCTCCGCCCCCTGTGC